AAAGACACCCAAAAATTTAATTATATTTAAATTTTCGGTTTTTCTTTTAGCGACACTCATATGTACATCGATTTGATCAGTGAACTTTATGCTGAGTTTTTCATAGTGCTGGCACTATATATCACGTGTGAAATCCATATTATTGAAACTTACGTGAAATTACATGTATTTTAAGTTTGTAAAATGTAATTTTCAACCCTAACTGTAACTTATCCGGCCCATATGTAAGTTGCAAAATAGCTTTAAAGCTAGCCGAATCACGTAACACTTTTAACCAGCATTAACATCAACTGTAATGGCTAAAAATTTGATATATGACGCAAACATATGTTGATCAACTTACATAACTTACAAGTTACAATAAAACTTACATTGGTACGTAAAATACATGTAACTTACATGTAAGTTAACAACCCTATTATAACCCGCTTCTGGAGTGTGTTTTATTATTAACTGGAGCACTCCATTAACAATCCTAGTAATCGGAAGCACCAAGCTCCGAAGAACTCCGAAAAGAAAATGATCGAACATAAAAGACGAACAAGATTGAGAAAAAATTTGGAGTAAAATTTCTGAAGGTAAAAAATTTGGCCGGCCAGCCACTTGACCGATTTTTTTATCAGCTGGCTAAGCCGGCCGATAAAGACCGGGGTAAAAAAAAAAAAAACTGTTGTACAATTGTACAATATAGCATACATATATTATGTCACGTTGTTCATACCAAATTTACTATATAAGCAACCTGATGTTGGTCTTTTATTATTACGTACGTACGTAGGATTTATTTAATTATTTATTACTACTTAATTTTAATGGTCGAGATAACAATAACCTATTGCCCTTTCGATGGTTATCAATTTTCTGAAGAAGACACAAGGTGCAAATTTTGTGATTTTGATAGGTAAAAATAACAATATATAACGATGATTTGAATATATCAATTGTTTTGTTGACTAAATATGATCTGGATAAATGAATATTGTATAGATATCGTGCGTGGGTATGCATGAGAAACGATTTAATATATTCGTGGATGTTCTATAAAAAAAGAAAAAAAAACAAATTAATAATGATTTGAACTATAGAGTTTGTTAAAAAATTCACCATCCAAAAGTGAAAAGAAGCCACCATGGCGGAAATTATTATGGATAAAGCAAGATTATCCAGATGACCATGTGGACGATACTTTTTTAGATGAATTACAAAAAAATGGTTGGTCGGCCTAATATCTTTAACTTAATCTCTCGAGTTATTTATTTAATTTTGAATATTTTTATTCATATATTGAAGTCAACGTTAGGGCATACGATTATTGGACTGTTGTTATGGAATCAACTGTGATTTCACAACATATTAGCAGCATCGTTATATTCATTGCTGTTTTCATAGATCTTTTTTGGGGCAGACTATCTGCACAAAATTTAATTATAAACGGGACGGTACTGACTATTATTGGATACATATTTTGGGATAAGAGTATATCAAAGACTGATCCTGCATATGAATATAAAAGTTAGTTTATATTTATTATTAATGTCATGAATATTATCAATTTATTTTTTATTTAACTAATTTAATTTTATAGGATGGAAGACAGCCAAAGGTGCTGTTTTATTTTTTGTGACACTTTTGGGATTATCTCCAATCCTAAAGACACTAACAAAAGATACTAGTAGTGATACTATTTGGGCATTGACTGTGATATTATTTCTTGCTAATATGTTATTTCATGATTATGGTTCTGAAAATCGAACAAATATCAAGTAAGCCACATTATGTTGTTTCCACCAAATGATTCTAGTACGTGCTTTGTTATTTATGATTCCGTTTATTTTTATCGTAGGTTTCCGGGTTCTGTATCAACAAATGCTGCAATTTTTGCATCCGTATTATTGGCATCACGATTAGAAGTAAATTCTCATGTATTTGGTTTGATGTTATTTGCTGTTGAATGGTTTGCCCTATTTCCGATCTTTCGTCGGTACACAAAAGTGGTTATTCTCTAAACATTCGTATATGTTTATTTCATTTCCATCAATATATATTAACCAATAGTTTTTTTTTTTATTCATTACATCTATTATCGTTTTATAACCTTTTTTACAGAGTCTTTCGGCAAAATTCAATATTGCATTAACTTGTATTTTATTTGTCTTAGCGGCAACATTGTTTTTACGTATTTCAAACGTGATTGCTATTATATATGTTTTGGGTATTATTTTCATTACGTTTGCTTGTCCGTATTGGTTAATTTGGATACAAAAATACAAAAAGTAAAATTGATTTTCCGTTGTTTGTCACATAATAAGGCTGCCATATTATAGATTATATTAATTTTGATTTCTGTTTAAAATAGTGAAATTCACGGGCCATGGGATGAGGCGAGGCCAAAACTTCAACAAACTAGAACAACACCTAACGAATAATTTTAAAAATTTTCAAGTTTTACAGGTACTGTACTGTACTATAAATAAGTTGTTAATTTCATTAGTAATTGTATACTATATAGTTAACATTATTTTTAATTGGTTTTTAGATAAATATTAATATAGAAGGTTTGAATAGATATTGTTACAAGACATATGGTTTAAATAATGATTAATGACTTAATAAAAGTAGTGTTAGTAATTTGTAATTTAACTCTGTAATAAAAAATTTAGATAAAAAAATTTATTCTCAGTAGTTATTAATTTTTGCCTCGTTATCCATGTATATTAACTGACGAATCCTACATATGGTGTCAAATAATTTGCGGAATGTTTGTGTATAGAATGACAGATTATAAATTTATTATCTTCCAAGTTGCCCTTAAATCAGAATTGTTAAAAAATTTTATAAAATATTCAAATTAAAATAATGAAAGAATTGTTAACATAAAAGTATTTGTTATAGAAATAATTTAATATGAGGGCGGCACCCACATACAATTTGCTTTAAATTTTAATTTTATTAGTTACCCGTGCAAACTATTTTCTTAACACATTGCACGGCTTGTTGTCTTTTGATTATGATTAGGACGTTTGATTGGCAATCACTAATGTAATATATAAAAATTCAATATCTCACAAGGTATCAAAACTAAAAAAGAATATAAACGTCTTCGTAAAATTTGGTTTAGCATAATCTCGAAATAAAGCTTATGAGCATTATTTCAGAAATTACATCCTTTAAAAGTATAAATAACACCCATGCGCTTCCCAAATAACGCGCACTTCGTATAACATTTATTAATATATTTTGCACATGAGCGTCTCGAAAAACGCGCAGGGTATTTCGCGTCTATGCGGTAATTTTAATAATATAAACAATGATATCAGATATAGAGCATAAATGCTGTGTCGTCGTGAAATAAGGCCATGCAAAGTTAATTTTCTGGCTTTTATATCATTAAAACTTCCAAACAGACCTGACTACCCTGCCTTTTTTAAAGCTTTATATATATAATCTACCCGGTTATTGTATATATGTAGATATAATTTTTAAAAGTTTTAAACATTTATTTAAAATATCTTAAATAAAAAAATTTTTAAATTTTTTTTAAAATTTTAAATTGAAAAAAATTAACCCGGCCGGATTATAGATGGGCGTGAAATTATCCTTCTTAATAAAATATTTTTGTTGAAATTGTAGAAATTATTTGATGTAGAAATTAGTAAATTTGTTTTTCAATATTAAAGATTAATTTAAATTATATTAAAAATTAATTAAAACTAAGCTAAATCAAATAAAATAGTTATTTGATATTTTAATATTAAGAATGTAGAAATTAAAAATAAATTTTACCTCCATCTATAGGCCGGATATGAAAATCAGAAGTTCCGGAGCGTTATTTTAAGGCACAATTTCCAGAGAGTTAAGAATTACTTTTGATGAATACAACCGATAATTATATTTTTTTTCTTAGCTCTCTAAAAATTAGATATCTCAAAATAACGCATCGAGGCATTATTTCGCCATCACCATAAAAGTTGCAATACAAAAAGTAGTTTACAAATAACAGGTAATTTTAAATGTTGTCATAAAACAATATCAAAAGTTATATATATATATATTTTTCGTTTATTTTATTTTATTTTTATTATAATGTAAATGCTTAATTTTTTATGAAATGACTTTAATGTTCCTTTTTTCCAAAATAATTTGTTCATATTACAATTCTTATAAAATATTTCGTACGATCGATATAGCAAATCAAGTAATCTTAAATTATTTTAGCTATTTATTAAACCAGTTATAGATGGCACCCATAACACTAAATCCAGTAGAAGACTCATTATTGGTTTGAGTGCTTTGTGATTCTGGCGTCTCTTCACCTTGAGAAGAAGGTGATCCAATATGTAATGGTGAAAAAGAAGATTCACCATCTACATACATTTGCTCATCCTGTATTGTGCCTCCATTTTGAGATTCATCACTATCAATACTTTCGTGTTCATCAGAAATTAATTCATCACTCTCTGAATCTTCTTCATCTGATTGATACATAACTTGCTCGTTTCCAGAAATTTCTGGTGTGGGCAAAGATTCAGATACATAACCAGTGTCATAAGCTGATGACGTTTCTTCATTATCAATTCCTTGACCTAACGGTTTCTTCTTATTAAAGAAAACTATACGAGGTGCTTCAAAATTGTCAAATGGATGATTAGAAACAAACTCCTGCCGATAAATAACCATAGCATCAATAATTTCATCAACATCAGTTTTCCCTTCTGCACGAAGTTTGTTAAGTAATGCTTCTAAACCGGAACGATATTCCTGTTGTTCAATGGGAGTACGTCCCTCATAATACGAAGCCATGTCAGAAATCAATTCTTCGTCTAAATAATTGATGGTAAATTAAGAAAATTCAATTAACTTTTAGTGAAAAGAATTGTTATCATTGATATTAATTTACCGCTCATCTGAAAGTCTCGCCAATGCTGTGATGTGCACTCATCATCATTACAACGACCACGGTTTTGGGACTCAAATACACACATCTTACGATCAACATTATAGTTACGACTATATATAATTGATTTATAGCCATGTTTTCCGATTTCTTGTTTGTAACGTGGATGAAATCTATATGATCGAAATTCTTTAAGTATGCTATCGTAGGGTACAAAGGATGAATCACTCTGTCCTTGTGACTGAGTCTAAAAATAGGACAATGAATTAACATATAAACGCGATAATAAGATGACATGAAATCATAAAAGAAGGAGCTCACATCGGCGTTCTTCGTATAAGAATCGCTAGTATCCATTAATTCAGCATTTTCCAAATTTAGGGATTCAGGATCTTTAACATTGTTTTTAGCGGAATCGGACAACGAACCGTTATTACTATATAACATTTCAATATCAACCTCAGATGCGTTTGCATTAGAGGTCGACGAAGTAATGGCCTTTTTCCCCTTACGCTTATTTAACAAGGTCAAACTTTGCATCAATTCTTGATGCTCTTTGCTAACCTTTTCCATTCGCTTAGACAATTGTGCAACTTCATTGCCGGATACACTCGATGTTAGTTTTGCTTTTTTAGCCACTGCTCTTAGAGTAGGATCTTCAGGGGATACAGTGCGTTTACCAGTGGAGTTTAACTCTGAACGACTGGCCGTAGATGAACCGGCCTGTGTTTCATTTTTAGGTTTTACCGATGATTTTCCAGTCAATTTTAAGAGCAATTCTTTTTTGGCCACTATAGTCTTATGAACAGCTGAAAGTTGTTTTTTGAGCTGTATTATATTTTCAGACACTGTCTTCTCGCTTCCAGCCAATTCCGCTTTCCTTGTAATGGATTTAGTCTTTTCGCTTAAAGTATCTTCGATCTCTGCCTCTTTACTAGTAATTGATGAATTACTATCTTCTATTTGACGATTAATATCAGCGAGTTGAGATTCGATCAACGCCTTCCTAACATCCAACGCATTCCGACTTTTTAGTAACTCTTCACGTTGTGCATTAAAATCAAGTTGCATTTTTTCATAATCGTTTTCGAGCCGTTCCTGGTCTTTAATATGAGATCGAATGTTGGAGAGTTCTCTCTCCTCAGCTTCAACCTTAGACCGTATTTCATTTAGAGTGGCTTTGGCAGCCTCAAATACTTCTAATTCTGCTCGAATTGTTGCAATGTCTGGATGTGGTGCAATACCTGGACCAGGACCCGCTTGCACTTTAGTATTTGTAGAACTAGGGTTTGAAACAACTTTATCTTGTAGTGCTGTAGCGCCAGAGCTCGGGCCAACTTGATCATGTGAAGAAGTAACTCTTTTCTTTAAACTTTCCATTTTACTTGCAATTAATTCATTCATGCGCTTAATCTCACGTTCCTTTTCCTCCAACTTTTTTTTTGCATCTGATTGTGCTTTCTTTTCATCTTCAGTTTCTAATTTAGAATCTTCACCAATATCCTTTTTAAAAGATGATTTAACTTGTTTAATTAATCCAGTAATGCGTTCATTGTCAGATTCATCACTTAAATCGATGACATAATTTGTCTCACGAGTGGCTAAAAATGGTTTTTGATTATTAGAAACAATTGAACCACTTTGAGGCCTCGGTGAAGAAATTGGACGTTGAGTCGAATTAACATTATTAATGTTTGAACTTAATGATACTTTTGAAGCATAGGCTTCTTTAGGTGATGAAGAGGTAACTAATGATGGTTGCGGTGTTGTATATTGTACCGAAGAAAATCCTGGAATCATAGATTCGACAGGTTGGTCATGAGCAGGTACATCTGCGGGTGTTGCTGGTTTACGGACAGGGATACTAAATACGGCAAGATGTGGTGGCAACGGATAATTTATCTCACGAGAAAACCTGATAACAACATCCACAGGAATTCCCTCTTCAATTATATCATCGGGCGTAGCAGACAACCGGTATAAGTCAGCTAATAATTTTCTCGTTAATTCTTCTTCAGCATATTTTGAATCTAGATTTATGAAAAGAATAAACGCATATATTGATGTAAACATTTAATCGGAAGATGATAAGTTGAATTTTGTGTGGCTAGTCCTATTAAAAAAAAATTGAACAGGAAATTATTCATTCCAACGAAAGTCTATCACTAACCAAAATCCACATGATAGATTTTATTTCCTGTCCTAGGAAATTAATATCGAACCTTTGCGAAAAAATATCGTACTTGAAATCAAAAATTTTTAAAAGATTTTCTCTACTTATTGCTTATATAAAATTGAAGTTACCCACCTAGACAAGGCTGTTGATAGGATTGTTGTTGATCTGTGGTGTTAGCCATTAATACAGTGGTTTCCTTACTTTTATGTTGAAACCCGTTTTCCTTAGTAGGTTCATTGTAACCGTTTATTGAATCTGAATCACTTAATTCGCCTTCCTCTCTTTCAGAAATGTTGCCGTCTTCAATAATAACGTCCTCAGCAGTAACTTGATTCACAGATGCTGGTTGCATGATAGGAGAATTTGTATTGCTAGATACATTTGCAACAGGAAAATCGTATTGAGTCGAGCTCTCATCGACTTTTGACTTCTCCTTCCTGGGATTTCTCGTCGAAAGAGCAGCTAATCTTAGTGCTTCTATTTCTGGAGGCATGGGTGTTGCTTTCTTTTCGTTTAATTTAGTTGTCATTTTACGTAAAGGAACAGAAAAGAGAAGTGAAAATTTACCTAATCTGACGATCCTGTATTGCGATCACAAATCACGGTGTTAAAGCATGATAGAAATCAGATTGAATTTGATTGGCTCGTGTATCACATGTTGTAACAGTTAACGTAGGGATGGCAAAAAAACGTTTTTTAATGATTTTTGAATTGTTTTAAATCATGTTTTAAAACATTGTTGATTGTGC